ATTTATGAAAATAATTGAATGGTTGCAAAAAATTTATTAAAATTAAAAATAATAATGAAATTCCTAAGAAGAATTTTATTATTTATGAAAATAATTGAATTCCTGTAAAAAAATTTGTTATTTTTAAAAATAATTGAATTCTTCATAAGAATTTTATAAATATTGTTTTAAATAAAAATAATATTTTCAAAATATAATAAATATTATGAAAATTTTATTCTAAATAATATTGAAGTCTTGTGAAAAACTTTATTTGTGAAAAAAATTGAATTTTTTGATTAATTAATTTAAAATAGTATTAAAAATAATTGGAATTCTTCGATAAGTTTTTATTATCTATGAAAATAATTGAATTTTTGCTTAAAATTTTATGAAAATTAAAAAAAAAATTTTTTTTTTTTTTTTTTGAAAAATATTATTATTAGTGAAAATAGTTGAATTATTGTGAAGAATTGTATAAAACTTTTGTTAAATAATTGATTTTGTCAAAATTTTTTAATAAATGATCTTCTAAATTAATTGAATTTCTGTTAGTTTTCACAAAAAATTGAAATTTTGTATTTTTATAAATTTTATCTTAACATTTTAAAATAATTATTCAATGTTAAAAAATTAAACAATTTGTATATATTATATTGAGGATGCTAAATGATCATGAAATGAACAACTTGCTTTTTAAATAATTGAATAGTTTTACGAAATTTTATGAACATACTAAAAATTTGAAAATAATTGTATTTCGAATATTTTTTGAATATAATTGAATCGTTTTAAAGAATTTGATTATAAAATTATAAATTTGAAATAAAATTATCTATTTTTCATGGATTGTGCAGAGTTTAGTCCCTACTAGAACTCAGGTGATTTTCAGATGTAAAATTCATAAATTTAGAAGAAATATATTTTTACTGTCTTTTTAATTATAACTAGACTTCATAAATTATATCTAGTCCAATAACCTTGATCTAATTATGTGTTTATTCTAAAAATTCCACATATACCAGAAGAGATAGTAATATCATTAACACGTATGAGCTTCCGGTGATTTTTTTTTCTAAAACTTTGCCACTGCCATCGACTTGAATGAATTACCAGTATTTTCCCGAACATGAGATTCGTCGTTTTCTCTTTATTCTTTCACATCATCTCATTTGTAAATGCGGGTAATTTTGAAAAAATTCAGTTCCCTTCCAGGGATTTTAAAAATTTATTAAAAGAAAATTTATTTAAAGGGAGAGTTTTAAAAAAAATTAAGTGCATTTAAAGAAAAGTCGCCATCGATTAGTTTTTAAAAAGAATTTTAAATTTCTCAGGGCGTGAATATTATTTTTAAATATTATTCATTGAAACATTTTTCACTGTTGAATTATAAAAATCAAATCACAACGAATTGATACCAAAAATGTGAGTGAAATAATAAAATTGATCCAGATTTTTGGCATCAATTTAATCCACTTTTGTATCAATTTGATACTTTTAACAAAACTACGATTATTTTTATATAATTGATTTTTTTTGTGTATTTATACCTTGGTATCATTTTAGTGCTTTATTGTATTGCTTTTTTAACAAACAATGATAGTTATTTTTTGACAAATTTTAAACAATGTTAATTTTATTTACACGCTTTTTAGTTTTACAAAATTTTTTTTATATTTGATTGTTTGTTCTTTAAGACTGGCGATCGGAAGACGCAGAAATGTCTGCTTCTGACGTTCTGTATAATGGCATTCAAATAGACATTCACTTAGCACCGTACAACGTAAGTGATTTGTCGTTGATATTGATAGATTTTTATAACAGGAAACTTTTTTTTTTTTTTTTTTTTTTTTTTTACTTTAAAATTAAAATTACTTTTTAATTATAAAAAGAATTGTATTAAAATTTTGTTAAATAATTCATTTTTTTGAAAATTCTATTCTAAATTAATTGAATTCCTGTGGAAATTTGATTATTTACGAAAATAATTGAATTTTGGATGGATTTTATCAATTTCTTTTAAATAATTGAATTTTTTTCGTGAAATTTTCAGGCTGTAGTGTTCGCTGATAAATCCTTTCCAAAACTTGAATTTTGCGGTGCAGCAATAATTACCTCGCGGCATCTTATTTCTGCAGCCTACTTCTTTTCTATAAAGTAAGAGAAGTTACTTTTCTCTCAATAAAAATTCAAATTTAATAACATTATTTCCTATAATAAAAATTTTATTTCCATTTCTCTTTTATTTCAGTCAACATAAGAATTTTAAAGTTGTTACTGGATCCACCCTCGTAAGTTCCTATGAAAATTATAATTTTACCGAGAACACTAATTATCACAGTGTAAATAAGGTTTACATTCACGAGAAGTACGATTCCTCTGAGATTTATCACAATATTGCACTCATAGAGGTAAGTACGAATTTTTGCTACAATTTTTTTTTATATAAACTTTTATTGCGTCCCAGAAATTAATTTAATAAATATTTCCTAATTTTAAAAATATTATTCCTTCAGTTAACCAGTTTGTTGCATTTTTCGTATAAAATTAACTACATTCCGCTGATGAGCCTTCAGGATGTGTACAATAATATCGAAAATGAATTAACTATGACGATCACTGGCTATGGACGGGAATATGTTAGTATTTCTATAACAGAATGGAAATTAAATATTCTGTTTTTAATTTCTTATAATTTTAAATATTTTTTTATATTTTTAAATATTTTTTTATATATTTTTAAATATTTTTTATATTTTAAAATATCTTTGTACATTTTAAAATAATTTTCTACATTTACAATTAATTTTCAGAATCAACAATTCAGCCACTTGAGGGAACAAATATTAGAAATAAATGACGTTCGGTTACATAAACTTAACGAACGTCTTTTGCTACTCAATAGAAAAGATTTAAAATCTTGTTTTGGAGATTCGGGAAATCCAGGTGTTATCAAAGGGAAATTGGCAGCAGTGATGATCTATGAGGAATTTTGCAATGTCACAAAATTACCACTGTTACTCACTGGAATTCCTTATTATTACGAGTGGATTAAATATTACGTTGGACAAGAGCGTCTTGAAAAGTACCCGGATCTTAATTAACATCTACAATATTTATTTATACATCCAAAAATTAAAAGAAATTTTAAAAAACATCAAAATCTTTCATTCTTATAGTTCTGCTAATGATGATGATGATGATGATGTTAAAATACAATTTCGAATCATTAATTCTCCTTTGGACTCCATTTATCCTCGAAAAACTTCATTTTTAAATAAATATTTAATCATTATTAATTGAAGGTATTCCTTCTGAATCAATGAACAAAATTTTTTAATTTAACAGTATATGCTTTTGAGTCAATGAATATATAGTTTTTAAATTTAAAAGTTTTGTCACTCGTACTCGTACATCAAGACTTAGAGAATTTTGAATTTTATTTTCTGGCATAAAGGTTAAGCTGAAAATTTATTTTTTCATCGAAAATAATCTCGTTGGTATTATTAACTATGACCCTATAGTTAATCTTAACCTAGTAAAAGTAATAAGGATTCCCCCCTGCGTAAAATATTTATTTCATAAGTTTAAATTAATTCTAAGGTATAATAATATGTTCAAATACAGTAATTAATTTTTTTTTTCTTTTAATAAGTTTTTCTCTTTTATTTGACAATAAGAATTTGATTAGCAATTTCAAATAATTATGATACACAGTGTAAATCTAATACATATTATTTTCGTAGTCAATTTGACTTTATTTTCCTGGTCACTTTAACTATGCTTGAATTTTATTACTTTGACTAGGATTCTATAGTGGGTTCCTCTCGTAACTAGAAACCCTAGTCAATTCCTGGTATACGGGTCCTAGGCATTTTTTCCGGTGTAGGATTTGCAAAAGTCTTTTGGATATGGTTGTTTATGTCCGGTAGAACGACCTTTTTCAGGAAGCAGAGATGGGCTTTAAATTATAAAATTTTAATAAATAGTTTAAACAACTTTTTCTCTATATATATAGAAATATACTAAAGCAATAAATCGATTTGTAAATAATATTTTCTAAAGAACTAAATAATGTTATTGCTTCCTTCCCCAGTAGCACGTAATGTTTTAGCAATATTGAGAACACTGCCTTAACATTACCAATATATTGCCTCAATGTTGTCAATGTTACTGAAACATTACGTGCTACTGGGTTTTACGAACAAGCACATTTTTTGCTGGACACAAAAAGGAATGACCATCTACATTTATATTAGAAAAAAGAAATAATCATTAAAAGAATTAAATTACTAAATTTTGTTCTTACTCTAAGTATCTTTGATAGCAGCAATAATATTCTCCTTGTGGACAGTCTTTATGTCCAACAACCTTATCGTTGGGCAAAATACGACTTGGGCAAATTCTATTTTTTGCTCTGCAATATCCATGCTTAACATGTGTTTGGTTAATACATGTTACACAGCTATAATCTTGTACCTCTGTCCCTGTATTTCACTTTTATTATATATACTATTATATAATGCTGTCCTTCCAGCTTAATGGAATTTTGAAAAATCGTATGATTTCTGTCAGAATGTTTTCAGTTTATGACATGAGTAAACATAAAGTATGTCAAGAATTAAGATTTTTTGATAGAAATGAAATGACTTTTCAAAATTTCGTCAAACCAGAAGGATAGCATTAAAGCATTTGGGTTGGTAGAGTTTAAAAAATTTTGTAAAATATTTGTTCTTCCGGCGTTGTAGAGTTAAAAAAACAAAAATCTGTATTATTAACATTAAAGAAAATTTTATAAACTTACTTTTCATAATTGAACCGCAATCATATACTTTAATCAATAATAACAATATCAATAATGAAGAGAAATGCATTCTTTTTTTTTGAAAATTATGTACTCGTTTGTATGCTTATATTGATGTTGATAGAAATTAATTTGAAGTAAATTGTTGGCCTACATACATTTCTTAGGATAACGAGTGTATATATAGTAAGAGAAGTTGCACAACAGGCAACAAATTACATTAAAATTTATTGCTATCGCTTCTAATTATAACAAAAATTTATGACAAAAGCGATGAAAAATTGTTAAATAGGGTGCTTATTACTACAGATAAACAAAATTTTAATAAGATGCTAGCGACGTTTTGAAAATTCATTTTTTATTAAAAAGAGTTTTAATTTATTGTTTTTAATTATTTTTTATTTTGCGTAATTTTTCACAAAAAGTATATTTTAATTTTAATTTCTAATTTTAATTTTAATTGACAATGGTTCCAAAAGTTACGAATTTTCACTATTTTATTTATAGCAGAATTTTGTGATAAAAAAAGGAAAAATATTTACATTTTTACATTTTAATTTGTGATATAATAGAAAATTTTCGAAATTTTTTTTTTAAATTTAATATTTGATTGTGAATTTGAAAAAAATTATATAGAAATTTTTGACAAACTTGTAATTTTTATTATCTGTTAATAATGAAGGATCGATAGTACTATATAATTTTCACTTATCTCTTTTAATGATTTTATGCGCTTCATTATTCTTTATTTCAAATTTGTCAATATTTCATATTATTTACTGTTTTTTCTATTTAAATTTCTCCTTGGATTATATCACTAACTTTTAATTTCAAAATAAAAATGTAGAAATTTTTCAACCCCAATTATAAAGAGTTCCATTTTTATCAAGATTAATAATTAAATTATATTGTGTTAGATAACAATTAACGATTTCTTTATATGATCCTAATGTAAATAAAGTATGATTTGAAATCCTCGATATAGATTCAAAATAGTTGCTGATTTTTTAAAAATTATTTATTTGTTGGTCGGGAATTTGATTAAAATATTCCATTTAAAATAACTGAAATTCTGCTATGAGCTTTATCATTTAATTATAATAATAAATAAATTTCTAAAAAAAAAAAATTGTAATATTATTTATAAAAACAATTGAATTATTACGAAGAAATTTTTTAAAAACTTTGTAAATAATTGAATACCTGTGAAAATTTTATTATTTTTAAAAATAATTATAATTTTGCTATAAGAATTTTATTATAAATTTTTTGAAAATTTCTTAAAAGAATTCATTTTTTTAATAAAATTGTACACAAACAGTTACAAATTATTTTCATAAATAATAAAAAATGCACATGAATTCAATTTTATTAACAAATTTTTTGTAAATTTCTTCTCAATAATACAAATAATTTCATAAATAATAAATTTTTTTTTATGAATTTAATTATTTTTATAAATAATAAATTTGTTTTATGAATTCAATTATTTTCATAAATAATAAAGCTCATCGTATACAAATTTAATTATTTTCAGTACAATTTTAATGTAAAATTCTAAATAATTGTGTATTTTTTGTTTGACTCATAAACTATAAAGTTGCAACGAATTCTAATACAAAACCCTTCAATTTTTTCAATTTCTGACAAAAATTTCTTTTTAAATAATTTAAATCTTGAACAACTATCATAAAATAAATAAATCATTTAGGAATAATTTTACATAAATATTTCAAAATTAATTCAATTTTTTAAAGAGTTGGCTTTACAATTTTTATAAATAAATATTCTTCAAACGGTTTCAATTTGAAATTTTATAAAATTTCAATGTTGAATGAGTTTAATGAGAAATTTTAATGAACTTAGATTTTTGGAAAAATTTAATAATTCAAAATCGTCTAAAATTAGTTAAAATTGCCAATACATATTTAATTAATTATTAAAAATAATTAATTTATAAAAGAATTTTAGTTAAAACCCAACAAAATTTGAATATAAAGGAAGTTACAAATGATTGATAAGAAATTCAATTATGTTCAAAATTTACAAAAATATCTTAATACAAAATACTAATTATTATGATTATAGATTTAAAAATTCTTCTTGAAAATTCAATTATTTTAAAAAATTTTCCTCATTTCAATGAAACATTTGTTTCATACAACAAAGTGTTTAAAATACTTATCAGAAATTGAAAATCGTCAGCTCTAAAACTAAATAGTTTATTTGAGTAAAAAGCGATGTTGATTTTAAGAGAAGTTGAGTTCCTTATAAGAGAAAAAATTCTATTTTTTCTATAAATAACATATCAGATATCAGAAAGTCATAGATCTGGCTGATTTTAAAAAGAAGTTGACATGAGAGGATTCGCAATAAACGTGCAAATGTTGATAGAAATCAATCTAAATAATTCAGTTGTTGCCGTATAATTGCTGCAATTATATGTGTAGCATGAAGAGAACGCAAGCGTATAATTTGCAAAATATATTCTAAACATAGTAAGTGAGCTTTCATAATTATTTACTACATTGTCACTGTTGTACTCGAACAAAAAGGAAGAGCAATGGAGAGATTATTGAAACTTGTAAAGTGGGTTCCGAATAACATTCGTGAAAGTATTTATCCTCTGATTTTCATGAACTGGCTGTCAATCTTTGGCTTCAGTGGATACCCCTTAGGCGGTACGAAATATAATAAATTCCGTTTCATTCCGGGGATAATATTTTTAGGTATGTTCTGCAAAAGGCTCCACTAAATAATAATTTATTATTGACTTGCAAAAATTTTTTATTCATTTTTATTATTTTCTAATTTATTATTATTCATTTTATTCTTACTACAGGTATTCTTTGTTTGATGATTTGTGACGATTTTTACGAATTACAATCTAGTTTATGGATAAGCCCATTTGAGTATATTTTGGAAGGAATATTTGTCATGGAGGTAATAATAATATTTGCTGCTCACATAAACGGTTGGTTTAATTTTAAGGTACGTGATAATAATTTTATGGCAAAATTCAAGCATATGTTAAAAGTTCCTGCAAGAATTGTTATTTGTGCTTTTCAAATTAATAGAAGTTGGATGATCTTTACAAAAGTATGATGGAACTGAATGACGCGACTAGAAATTTTGGCTTCAAGGAAAATTATAGTACAACTTTTAAAAGTCTGCTAGGATGGATATTTGCCTTTTTATGTTTAGGCTTCATGACAGAAATTTGTATGTACAAAGAATCTCAATTGTTTGCAATACAATTATGTGTGTTCTACTTTTCAACAGTCATAGATTTGAATGTACACTTTAATATTAAGTACGTATATATTTATGGTATTTTAAAATCAGAAAGCAACTGAAAATAATTTACAAGTCTTTTAGAAACATGTTATTTGAGAAATAACTGATTATTTTATTTTATGTAACAGATTCATTGCCATTAAAATCAAATTCTTAAACAACTTGCTGATAGAAAAGTTTAAGAAAAATTCAAATGGATCCATCTTACATGATCAGTTACAACATTCTGCATTCAACGCAAATGCATCTGATGCTTCTGATTTTCATTCGTCAATAGAAACAATTTATTTGGTGTCTGAAAATTTGACAGAAGAAAAGAAGAGTTGTTTGCAAAAAATAAAGTAAGTATATACATATTCATAAATAAGTTTCTTATATTTAATTTACCAAAAATTTTTTTTCAGATGCCTTTATTTGAGTCTTTACATTCATTCTCAGCAGTTAAATCAAATTTATGAAATGCATTTACTTTTGCAAATGTTATCTAACCTATATAATTTAGCGGCATGGGATAGCATCGCCCGTGTAGAAATCACCATGCTATGCCTAAAATGATTATTGGCCCTAGCTTGGACCTAACTTGGCAACCCCTTTTTATATATCCTGGGCTGGTCCTAACTTGGTACTAGCTAGGAGATCCAGTTATGACTTAGAAAAATTTTTAGGAAAATAAAGAGTCAAAATTGATACATGAAAAACATGTAAAAATTGATAAATATTCTTAATTAATATTTATAAAATTAATTGATAATCATATTTGTTTAAACAATTTATTGTTTGACATAAATCAGAAAGTTATACAAATACTATAAAATAAAGTTAATTTTCAAATTATTATTTATTAATTCAGCAATTGTTTAAACAAATAATTGTTATTTACTAACTTTTTACACAATCAACCTAGAAACTAGCAGTTTTTTCTAATTTTGCAATAAGTAAATACTCAGATTAGTTAATTGCAAAATTTTAAAAGACTACAAAGTGTCTAGGCGCTTTATTGTCTTAAAAATTAATAAATAACAACAATTTTTTGTTTAAACAAATGCTGAATTGTTAAAATTATAAATTATCTTCATATTTCACTACTCAAGTGTAATAATCGCGAAGTTAGATAAAAAACTGCAAATTTTTAAGTAATTTGTTACAAAAGTTAATAAAACAGCAAAATTTATTTATTTATTTAAACAGATACAGACTGCAATATAATTATCATTAGGAAAATATATTTCTAATTTCGTTCGCTGATTTTAAGTTTCGTTTAAGTTGGTGCTAAACACTAAGAGATATTGCAATTCGAATGTGGGCTGACCCACCCAGGTCCAACCCAGGACCTACCTGGGCTTCCTAGTTTCATTAGCAAAAATTTCTAAGTCCAAGTCTAAAAAATTTTTTGCAACAAAAAATTAATGCTTAAAATGATTTAGAATAATGAAAAACGTGTTTTTAACATAAATTTTTTTGACATTTTTTTAAAAAGTGGATCACCCGCTTAATTAATTAGGAAAAATTTCTAAGTCCAAAAGACGAATATTTTTTTTAGACCAAGAAATTAATGTTAAAAATGATTGAGAACAATGAAAAACCTGTTTTTAACGAAAATGTATAGATATTTTTTTTCTTGATATAATATAAAAATATTAATTTTTGAATTTTTATATTTGGATATTATTTTATTATTATTGTTGTTGTTAAACTATTTTTTTTTATTTATTATTGTGTATTAGTGTCAATAATTACTATATTGAATCATCAAAAGCAAGTCCACAAGTCACTGACAATAAAAATTTTGATCTCAACTAGTTTCATTAGCATAGTGGTTAGGGCGTTAGTCTCGTAGTCCGTAGGTCGTAGGTTCGATTCCCGCGTGCGTTAGATTTTATTTACTTCTTAGGTTTGCGTTTATTCCGATTTTTCTGCATT